CTCCTCCTCCTCCCCCCTCCCCCCCTACATCCTCCCCTCCTCCTCCAAACTCCACCTCCACGCTCCTCCTCCTCCTTCTTCCATCCTCCTCCTCCTGCTCCTCCTCCTCCTCCTCCTCCTCCTCCCGCTCCTCCTCGCCTCCTCCTCCTCATCATCTTCCACGGCCTCCGTCTCCGCCCAGTTCGTCGCCGACGTCGTGGTCCTCTTCAGGGTCGGCGGCAACGGCCGTCAGGCCTTCGCAATTAGAAACTGACCGTCCAACAGACGCGAAACGACACGTTCTTATCTCCGTGGCGCCAGCCGGAGCTCAGAATCGACAAAGGATGTGCCCCTAGAGTTCCCTTAACATGATTTCTTCCCGTATGTGCCTGTCGTATTTTATCCTGCTGGGATCGGCGTGGGGGGTGCTCAGGGAATAGGGCTTTACAAGTGGATGCCACGGTGGGATCTGTTGGCCTAGCCTGGGTGACTAAGGGGGTACAAGCGCCCCACATGGCTTAGGGGGGATTCACGATCAAGGCTAAGTGGGCTATGGCCAATTCGCGGAGCCATCTCCTCACCTTACGCCAGTTGGGGCACTCATAACCCGCCTGGAAGCTAGGTTGGCCTTATATAGGCCTTAGCGGGCCCTGGAAACGACAGGGCCGTTTTGATACTGGTTCCGTGTTGCCGTTTCCTTGCCGGTTCCGACGCCGTTTTTGTTGGCTGGTTCCGTCACCGTCTTTTTCCCGGTTCCGGCTCCAGTTCCAATCCCAGAGCCGTTTTTTGTAGTTTTGGTCGCTGTATTTTTTTACCGTTTTCAGGAAGCCGTTTTTCGAACACGGTAAAAAACGGCCATGCCATTTCTGGGGCCCACTAAGATATAAGCCACATTTAGAGGCCTCCTAGATGGGGTCCGCGTAAATCGGGTCGGAGGGTCGCGCCACATCGCCGATGCATCGGCAGTGTATCGGCGATGTATCGCCGATGTATCTTCGACGTCGGCGCTGTATCGGCGACGTCGACGTGGAGCAAGTCTGGCTCCACATGGAGCCGCATCGCCGATGCATTGGCGGTGCAGCGCGATCCTTTGACACCACCTACTCGGACCCCATCTGGGAGGCCTAGAATTTGGAAGCCCGAAATGGGCACGGAAAGAATGGGTACAATGCCAAACAACAATTGTTGTCCCAAACCAACAGCGGCCGCTGTTGGGCAGGCGGCCTTCTGTCTCAAATGGACACAGGCCGCTTCTGTCTCAAATGGACACAGGCCGCTGCGACACCGACAGCGAGCCCTGTTCAAAATGAACAGGAACTGCTGTTGGCCATTGTACCCATTCTTTCCGTACTCACTTCGTTCGTGCCGATGGGCAGAGCTCTCGGGGCGCTGACGCTCGGGGACCGGGGTGGGTGGATATAGTAGGGGCCCGGCCACAGGAAGCCCTCCACAAGAAACAGAACCCTGAGACCCCAGGACGTCCATGGATTACCCAAGAAACCCAGGGCACCCTGGAGGCACGCAGGGTGTCTTGTTGGCGTGGGCCCCACGTGTAGTATGGCGCGCCGAGGCGTGGTGGGCCAGACTCGTCGGAGCGGCACGCTGAGCCACAACCCCCGACCGCAGCCCGAGCGGTGGTCCAAGCTTGCCGGTTGAAGGTCGGGGCGGGGGGGAGAGGGTGAGGAGGAGGAGGAGGAAGAGGAGGACCTGTGTAAACGCAAGAGTCATCAACGATGTTGGGAGGAGCCCTCCCTTCACTCTCTTCACAGGCCCCTAGAACGGTTCATTTCCAACTGAAGGAACTTGCCTCGTTGGAAGACAACTATTTGAAGACCCGGAAGCATGCCAAAATATTGCTCTCGGAATTCAACGCCACGGGTCAACCTGGCTGCTGCGCCTTGACGGTCCGAAATCGTGCCAGAACGAAATGTTTTGGAGTTCGACACTGCGAGCCAACATAACTGTTGCACCCGCGTAATCCTGAATCCTTCCAAAACACCAGGCGCTGACTCAACGGCAGGCACTAACCGCGATCTGACACGACATGCGCCACGCGGACATAATTACAGGGCGCGCCCTTAGTAAGGGGGCGCCAAATTTCTGCGCCAGTCTGAAAAGACCTCAACACAGGCGTTCCTTCCGCCGGACGGCGGTGCAGCAAGTGTCACCGCGCTGGGCGAGTCAGATGCTGTGCCCGCATCAGGCTGCATGCTGATGGCAGATCGTGCTGGATGGTCAATGTACAGCTGGGCGGCGGCGCACAGTAAGGTAGCACTGGCTTCGTCAGCTGGCATGCACCTCATCTGCGCCAGCTCAGTGAGGCGGTGAAATCACTGAGTAAGGGGATACTGGTAGGAGTGTAAAGAGAGACGCTGACTATAATGTGCGCGCACGGGATGGAATCGCAATCTGTCTGACCTGGCCCGCATAAGGTCTCTCCGTGCGCTGCTTCCCGCGTGACAGAGAAACTGACATGGGCGCCAGCAGGCACCCGAAAAGCTGGTTGGGGCCATGCTGGGCCAGGCCGAGCTTGTGCGTGCGAAGGCGCACACCTGGGCACAACAGTGCCCCGGCGTGCGCAGCATTGCGCATGGTTGCGTACAGGCGACAGGCGTGGCACTTCCTTGCCTCTGCGCGCGCTCCGGCGCACAGCTGAGCATGCCGATGCCCAACGAGCGCAGCAAGATGCGTAGGTGCGCGCGGGTGCAGCACTGCGCGCGTGCTGTCACCGCCAGGTGCCAGCAATGCCCCAGAGTGCGTCGCACAGTGCGCGCGTGCCAAGGCAATGCGCACTGCGCTGGCGCAGCTGCATCGCCGGGTGTAAAGGATGCCCCGGGCGCGCTCCACAGTGCGCGGGTGCACGGAGGTGACGCGCACCACGAAGCCAGCACCGCCGCGCACTCACAATGCGCAGGCGTGCTCCCCTCCTGATAAGACAGTGGCCATTCACGGGGCAACCGTGCACTCGTCCTGTCCGAAGCCGACGCGGCAAAGTGCGCGCAGGTTGCCACGTGGCCGCTGCCTAAACCGAAGGGCGCAACAGAAGGTGTAAACGTAATATTGCTTCCCAGCATACCTGAAGCTACACGTTCCGTGCATGGTGCGTCTGAACGCCAGGGCGCACAGCATGCGCAAGAGCATGGGACAACAGGTCTTGTGGTCAAGTCAGAGGCACAGCTAAGCCCCGATTGCGTGTCAATCGCGCTCAACATTGGTACCCTTTTGAATGGTCGGGTGGGCTGCGTGCCTGTGGTGGCGCTGACAAGTCGTCACGGCCAGGGGCACTCGTCGCGTTGCACGTAGGCGGGGGGCCACTTCCCTGCTCCTTGGGAGGAGCCTTTGACAGGGCGTCTGGGCAATAGCCGGCGCGACAGCAGTAGGCGCCGGCGACATGCCTGACAGCTCCATCCAGGAAAAGAGGCGGCGTAGACGATATTGAAGTCGCCGTCGGACTCCGCCTCGAGGAGGAGCACGACGAGGCACGGCAGCTCGCAATTGCCCAACACGTCGACGGTGATGACGAGCGTAGATTTGAGTGAGCAGTGGGCGTGGCGTGGCCGTCGTGCTGGCTGCAGCTGAACGGGATGACTGCAGCGCTCGCCGGACGTGTGTCTGGCCAGCTGCGGTCCACGGTCGGGGCACCAACATGCATCGGCGACGTCAGATTGATGACGAAGTGCCCCCCATGGCGCCAAGCTGGCGCGCCTCCTCGGTCAGACAGTCCCGATGGCGATGCAGGCAAACTGGCCACGATGGTGTACCTCCTCGTGGGGCCCGCGCAGGGACGGGTGCTGCCTTGAAGCTGGGGGAGGCCGTGGTTGTGGCTGAGGCACTTGGCGGCGGCCAACCAAAGGGCGTGAAACAGGCACATTCTTCGACTCTGCGTCGCTCGTCGCGCGGCGTGCTCACCGAGAGGAAAGCCACCGCCACTGCGCACAGGCCCAACCCAGGTGCTGGCCCACTCATTCTGCCCAGCGCAAGAGAAGGAGGAGGAGGAAGAGGAGGAGGAATAGGAGGGGGAAGCGGAGGAGGAAGAGGAGGAGTAAGAGGAAGAGGAGGACGAGGAGGAGGAGGAGGAAGAGGAGGTCTGAGAGGAGGAGTAAGGAATTGGAAGTTCTTCCTGTGGTGAGGGAGCGGAGGCATCATAGCCTCTGCGGGTGCTTCTCCTTGCGCGGGGCACCTGCGCTCTCTGGTGTTCGTGCCTCGTCGCGCTGGTGGATGCCTTGGGCGAATCCCCCGTATAATGTGCAGAGCAACCATGAGCACAAACCGTTAGGGGACCGGAGGGTGGATCCGATGAAGAATGTGGGGGGAAAGCGAATGCGCGATCGCATCGCACCCTGCGCAGATCCGCTGATCCGTGCTAGCGCAGGCTTGCACCAGTCACCAACTCGAACTGCGGGGGTGGCAGCTGTGATAGACATGGTGGAATTGGAACAAGAAATTGTCATTTTCCATAACAACGTATACTACCAAATGACGCGTGCACGCTTGAGCCGCGATGACGGCGGCGGGCGCGCTTTTTCCTCTTCCAGTGAGGAGGAGGAGGAGGCGGAGGATCAGGAGGAGGATGAGGAGGAGGAGGAGGAAGATGCCCGAAGAGGTTTGAGAAGGGAGTGGCGGAAGTAACCCTGTGCGAGGACCAGGAGGAGGAGGAGGAGGAGGAGGAGGAGGAGGAGGAGGAGGGGAGGAAGAGGAGAGGAGAAGAGAAGGAGCCCGAAGGAGGCCCAGGGAGGGAACGGCGGAGAGCTAGGATGACGAGGAGGAGGCGAGAGGAGGAGGAGGGACCAAGAGGAGTAGGGAGGAGGACGAGGGAGGACGAGGGAGGAGGAGGAGAGGAGAGGAGGAGGAGGAGGAGAAGGAGGAGGAGGAGGAGGGGATGAGCGCAGCGTAGGAGGGGAGGAGGAGGAGGAGGGAGGTAGGAAGGAGAGAAGGAGTAGGAAGGAAGGAGGAGGAGCAGCAGGAGGAGAGGCCTGCCCATCCCCTGAACAGCCCCCGGCGCCGATGCTGGGCGGAGGCGCCGCGTTCGCCGCCCCCCCGCGGCCCTCCTGCGGCGCCAGCGGCCGACCGTGCCGGGGGCCCGCTGCCGCCCCCTCGGCCTGCCCGGGGGGGTGGGGGGGGGAACGGGGGCGTCAGCCAGGGCCCTGTGGCCCTCTTGAGAGAAGCTTCCTCCTCCTCCTCCTCCTCCCTCCTCCTCCTCCTCCTTCCCTCCTCCTCCACCTCCCCCTCCTCCACCTACCTCACCCCCCTCCCCACCCCCATCCTCCTCCTCAACTCCTCCTCCTTCCCCGCTCCCCACGCTCCCTGCCTCTTCCCCCTCCTCCTCCTCCTCCTCCTCCTCTCCTCCTCCTCCTCCCTCCTCCTCCTCCTCCTCATTCCTCCTCCTCCTCCCTCCTCCTCCTCCCCCCACTTACCACCCGCCCGACCCCCGCCCCCATCCCGAGGACCATCTGGCCGCTCATGGGACGCACAGAGACATACTAGCACTAGATGTCCTCCTTGGAGGCGCGCGTCCAAGCCGAACATACAGGAGGCCCATCTTGTAATGGATCGTCTCCCGAGCGGTGTGGCCAGAGAGCGCCCGCCACGACGCAGATAGCATAACAATTTAGCGGTGCGCGGGTCGCCCCTGGGGGAGCGACGCACACATCAGTTGCGTTCGGCCCGTACCAGCGGAGGGCGGAACGCCAGAATCGGCCCCGCGTGGCTCCCAAACCCGGGTGAGCCAGAGTCGGGATCCACCAAAGGGGGGGGTGACCCCGAGGTGGGGGCATGAACTCGATCCGTTGGTGCATAGACCTGCCGCAAACAGGAGGAGGAGGAGGAGGAGGAGGAGGAGGAGGAGGAGGAGGAGGAGGAGGGGAGGAGGAGGAGGAGGTGCTGCGGTTGGCCTCTCAGATGGCTCAAGAGAACTCAAAACGGTTGAACATGGCCCCCATCATGCATTCAAGAGGCCCCAAGAGGAGCGCACGACAGCCCCAAGTGCTTTCGGAACACCGTCGGCCCCCCCCAACAGTTCAAAATCCTTCAAGAACCTACAGATATCCAACAGGTTGTTCCGTGCCACTTGTTCACTTCGGATGGGCTTTTGAAGCCTCCAAGCTGGGCTGGTTTGGGGGTGGGCGGTGCCGGTGCCGTGCGTGCGTGCCGACATTCCGAAATCCGCCGACCCTGTCGGCGTGTGTGAGGGGCTTGTCCGTTCAAGTCGTCATCTCCGTCATTCGTTGGTCGTCGTCTCTGTCGTCCTCTTTCCCTGTCTCCCCCCTTTCCCTGGGCTCGTCGAAGCTCCCCCCGTTCCCAGGGACCTCCTCAGCGCGCAAGCCAAAACAAAGTTGAGCAACGTCGTAATTGAGTCGAAGGGAAGCCCCTTCCCTTCGATCCCTCCCCCGCCAAGGGGGGTGGGTGGGTGTGGGGGGGGTCCCAGGGGGGAGGGGGGTCAGGTGCCCCAGAGCCCCAAAAAGCCCCAAGACGGGCCAAGAGTGCCCCAAGAGTGCCCCAAGAGTGCCCCAAGAGGCCCCAAGAACCCCGAATCGCCGAACGATCTGTCCAAGACGCCTTGACGGCCTCCAGGCGGCCCAAGAGGCCTGTAAAGCGCCCCGTGAGGCCTCCAGGAGCTTCCCCACGAGAGCCCCAAGAGGCAAAATTCATGGATTCCCCATACGTTTTCGGAAGATTTTGGCGTTCTTGCCTCTTCCGCTTCCCGACGCGCCAAGACGGCCCAAGAGGCCCCCAAGATCGCCCCGAGACGGCCCAAGAGGCCCAAAAGAGGGTCCCCTAACGGCCCAAGAGGCCCCCAAGACGTCTCCAGGAGAGTGCCCAGACGGGGGACCCGAACGGACAAAAAAGGAGCTCTCAGCCACAAGAGGCCCCCAAGAGGCCCCGAAGAAGCCCCAAGAGGCTCCAAGAGGCTCCAAAGGGGCCCTAAACTGCCCCAAGACAGTCCAGGAGAGCCCCAAATCGCCCAGGAGGGCTCCAAGAGTGCCTCGAGACGGCGCAAGAGGAGCCCTGGCAAGAGGAGCCCTGGACGGCCCAAGACGGCCTCAAGAGAGCCCCAGGCTGTCCCAAGGAAGCCTCTGGCCTCCTCCTCTTCCTCCTCCTCCTCCACCTCCTCCCCCCCCTCTGCTCCCCCTCCTCCTGCTCTCCTCTGCCTCCTTCTCCTCCTCTTGCTTCTCCTCCACATCCTTCTCCCCCCTCCTCCTCCCTCATCCACCTCCTCCACTCTTCCTCCACCTCCCACGCATCCTCCTCCCCCTGCCCCCCCCCCTCGTTTTCATCTTCGTCGTTCTCAGGGTCGGCGGCACCGGCCGCAAGGCCTTCGCAATAAGGTGGTCTGTGCGGAGGGGGCGCACCGGCCGGGAGGCGAGGGAGAGCTGGGCTGGCGGGGGGGCAGCGCGGTGCTGGTGCCCTGCGTGCGTGACGACGAAATGAACTGTTTGGTGCGGAGGTGGCGCGCTGGCTGCGGGGAGAGGGGGAGCTGGGCTGGTTGGGGGGGGGGGCGGTGCTGGTGTCGTTCGCGTGTGCCGAAGTAAGTGGTCGTGGCCGAAGGGGCGCGCCAGATGGGAGCAAAGGGAGGCGGTGCTGGTGCCTTGCGTGCGCGCCGAAATTCAGGAAAATAGAATGGTCGGGGCGGAGGGGGCGCGCCAGTTGGAAGGTGAGGGAGAGCTCGGCTGCCTGGGGGCGCGGCGTAGTGCTGGTGCCGTGCGTGCGCGCCGAAATGAAATGATCGGGACGGAAGGGACGCGCCGGCTGGAACGAGGTGGGGAGCTGGGCTGGCTGGGGGGAGGGGGTGCGCGGTGCCGGTGCCCTGCGCGCGTGCCAAAATAATACGATCGGAGCTCTAGACAGAGGGTGCGAGAGAATCAAGGGTCGGGAGTTCTGGGGCCCCTGGTACTGAAGAACATCACAGACATCGGATCACTGGGCTCCTGCTCGTCCTCGTCCTCGTCCTCGTCCTCGTCCTCGTCCTCGTCGTCGTCGTCGTCCTCGTCGTCGTCGTCGTCGTCGTCGTCGTCGTCGTCGTCGTCGTCTTCCTGCTCGTCCTCCTCGTCATCGCCCTGGTTTCATCGTCGCCATGCTCCTCCTCACTTCTCCTCCCGAGGGGATTGCGTACCTGGAATTCGCTGATATGCGCGATATGGCAACGACCTCGGCTCCACGACACCCCACAGGCGGCGGCGTCACGGAAGCATGTAGCCTTCCGCCCACGCTCGCGGGGCAACCTAAACTTTTACTTTGGGGGCCCCTTGCCGGCTAGGGGAGAACCCGTTTCGTGCGCGCGCCGGTTTCTCATGGCCGTTGGAGAGGGGGTGGGAAGGGAGGGATAGGATGGATGGAGGAGGACAGAGGGGGGGGAGGACGAGGAGGATGAGGAGGGAGATGGATTTCCGACCTCGAAGGCAACACCTCCGAAATCCCATCACGCCATGAGCAACAGTGCAAACGACAAGACGTAAGGGAGCAGCCACACGACAACGAAGGGAACTGCTGCGAGCGAGCGCCTAAAATCAGCTAGGTAACGAAACCATCCTAATCAAAACTGTCGATCACGTCCTTGCTGTCGTCGTCGGACCACGCCCCGGCGCACAGAGAGACAAAAAATCCAGTATCCGCAACTCCCGCACTTGGTGAGCTGCCTCCTGCAGCCATGTACGAAGCAGCCGCAACACTGCGGCAGAGAAGGCGGCCTCCTCCAGGGCCGCAAGAAGGCGAAGAGGAACCCAAGCACATGCTCCTGCCCCATCAGAGCCTTCCACCACGGGGGTGGCACCCCAATGGTCGAGTGGGGAATCGACGACAGAATCGATTTACCCTAAACTTGAACAGTTCTATCGGATCTTCGGACAATCAAGACGTGAAATGTTCGTAGGTGTACGAATGTTAAATGTTTTCCCCTGTAGATTCGCCAAATAACTAATTTTGGGGTAGTTCAATATTGCAATCGATCCCCTATTAGAAATGATGTGTAGCTGGGCCGCCGCCACATCCGCGACGCCGCCCTCCTCCACGCCCACTGCCACCACGCTGCAGACAGGCGACCCCCTCTGCTCCTCGACTGTCGCGAAATCCATGGCGGGCTCGGCCACAACTCCGAATGGGGGCGAGCACGGGAGCCTCGGCGCGCATGGGGCTCGAGATTCGCTTGCTGCTCCTTGTTCTGGTCATCCTCGCTCCTCCACCTCCTGCTCGCCGCCACCTCACTTCCTTCGTTTCCTTCCTCGACATGCCTCGTCCGCCTCCCGGTTCCCTCCTCTTGGCGGCGAGCGAGGGGGGGAAAAGAGAAGGGGCGGGCCTTCTCAGAAGGCTCGAAGTCCCCCAGCCTTCTGAGAAGTTGTCTGAGCCTTCCGCGCAGACACAACGACTTCTCAAAGGCGCGATGGCTTCTGAAAAGTCCCGCCGCCTTCTCCGAAGGCCTTCCCCTTTTCACTTCCCCCCTTGCTCGCTGGCCCGCCACACCAGTTCGCCTGCGATGAAGCGTGGCGCAAAAGGGCGTCGGTAGGCTCGGGGCTCCGGCAACGCGCAAGAGCCTCACCACCGCAAAAAAAACATTTCCCGAGCCTCGGAGTCGAAAAAGGAGCACGATCGAGACTGCTGCCTGACGTGCTCGAGCTGCGCGTGGATGTTCTTAAGGCGACGGAGAGCTTCAGCATGGCATGATCCGCTGAAGCCTGAGCCCAGGCTCTTCGGGCCTTCCATTCTGCACCAGAGCGAAAAGAGACGCGCATCGCCCGCGTCCTCCCAGCCACTTTGAAACAAACTGGCTACGGACGAGGGTGGAGGGAGGGAGGGAGAGAGGGAGCAGAAGGCGGAGTCGAAGAATAATGAAGGTGATGAGGGAAATACAAGGGCTCCCAACTTCGCGCTTCGCGCTGCGCGAAGCGCAAAGTGCGAAGAACTTCGCGCCCTCGCGCCGCCTCCCAGGGGAGAAGGGGAGGATGAGGGGGAATCGGAGCCCAAGCGCGAAGCGCGAAGAACTTCGCGCCCTCGAGGGCGCCCTTGGAGATACGAGATAAGGCAAGGCAAATCCCGAAGCGATCCTCGATCCTCCACCCTCCTCCTCCTCCTCCTCCTCCTCCTCCTCCTCCTCCTCCTCCTCCTCCTCCTCCTCCTCCCCCTCCATCTCCTCCTCCTCCTCCATCTCCTCCTCCTCCTCCTCCTCCTCCTCCTCCTCCTCCTCCTCCTCCTCCTCCTCCCGCTCCTCCTGACTGATTGACTCATGGCATTCGAGAACGAAGATCGCTGCCACCAATCCTGCCTCCCCCGTGCGGCTAAGCCCTGAACGGTGGAGGGGGCTAAAACGAAACAGTAGGGAAAGTAGGGAAAGCGCCTCCTCCTCCTTCTCCTCCTCCTTCTCCTCCTCCTTCTTCTCCTCCTCCTCCTCCTCCTCCTCCTCGCAGAGAGTGGAAAGGAACGTGGGAAAGGAAAAAGCAAGCGGGGCGCTCCAGCCCAGAGGCCATCGCGGCACCTCCTGACAAGTCAATCTCCTTCGTCGCCCCCCTCCTCTCCCGTCCCTCCCCCTCCCGTGACAGCCGGGCGGTAAGAGAGAAGTAGCGGTGTAACATTCTGCGGGATGCCATCTCCGATGAAAGGAATGGACCGCAGAAAGGAAGCAGGCATGATGTGTGCAGAAGGAGAGAGAAATGAGGCGATGTGGAAGTAGGGAAAGGTAAACGGCGAGGCAGACGAGAAGGGAAGTTGAAAAGGGACTGTCGGTGTCAACTACCTGGATCTGCAAGTATCCGCCGGCAGGAAAAGGTGCCTCGCGCGTGGTGCAGCGGCGGAGAGGCAGGCGTCGCCGCCGCTCATCGCTCTATGAGAGGAGGGGAGGAGGAGGAGGAGGAGGAGGAGGAGGAGGAGGAGGAGGAGGAGGAGGAGGAGGAGGAGGGGGAGGGGAGGGGAGGAGGGAGGAGGGCGACGCGACTCGTGCCCGACGCGGCCGACGGGGTCGCGGGGAAGGGGGGTAGGCTGGGCGCGCGCGCCCGTGAGACACATCCGGCGACAGCGCCGATCATCGGCGGGCCGTTTGTCCTCCTCCCCTCCTCCTCCTCCTCCTCCTCCGCCTCCTCCGCCTCCTCCTCCTCCTCCTCCTCCTCCTCCTCCTCCTCCTCCTCCTCGCGGTTGAATTGCTGCGTGCGTCGGACACGCGCCGCAGCACTCCCCGCAGGGGCAGCTGGGGTGCATCTGTTGCGTTGCAGTTGCACGCGCGGCGGTGGAGTTCCTCGCGCGAGAGGGGGCCGGTGCATCCTGCGAGGTGGATCTAAGGGAAGGGTGAAGAGCAAGGATGGGTGGCCGCAGGAAAAGCGGTGCCAAGAGCCGCCGGGGCACCTGCGATGCTCGCGCTAGTCTGGGGTTTGGCGGTTCACCCCAACAACCTCCCGCTTTCCCCATTACAGCGCGGCCGCGGAGTGAACTCACTGTTTGGTGCCCACAGCGTGTTTTTTTGTTGTCGCGGTCTTCTCGGGCTCAGCGCGCAAGCCCCTCAGAAGCCGAGGCGCAGGGCACTGGCGAGTAGCAGGGGGAGGTGAAGGAGGCGGATGTGCCTGGGGCGTAACGGCAGAGGATGGGGCACGCTCTTGGTGAACGCGGGACGACACAGGGAGAGCACTCCCCCTAAGAGTAGAACGAGTCTGGCGGCGGCGCTGCCGCCGCACGCTACATGCAGGGCCTCTCACGGGTGGTCCCTCGGGAGGTCGAATCGGACTCTGCGCTTCGAGCGCTCCGGGCCCACCCTCCCTCAGAGCGGTGGCCCACGTGGCCCCGCCGCTCGAACTCGGTGGTGCTCCAGTGACGGCCCTTCGGGCTCGAGCTCGGTGGTCTGGCCCAGCGTCGTCGCCTTCTCGGGGTCAGATTTCCGAAGCTGGTCCAGCCGTGGTGAGAGGAGCGGGGCTCTCGCCGACATAGCCCGAAAGGGCTAGGTGGGGGTGGGCCGCCGAGGGGGCCCCGAGGGGGGGGTCCCGTCTGCAGATGAGATGCACGGCGGCAGCACAAGGCCCCCTGAAGCCGGAGCGCGGACGCCGTCTGAGTTGCCGAGATGAGCGGGGACGAAAACAGGCGCTTCTGGTCTGAGCGTGCCCACGCTGCCAGCACTGTCTGACCCGTACTTCTCGGCATAGGTCTGTGACCAACAGCTGGGCGGGGTCTTGGGCAGCCGCGCCCTGCCGCCCGAGTGTGAAGGCTAACGGTGGCGAATATCCCCAGTAGGCCTGGCGTTCCTCTGGGAAGAGATGGTTATGAGGTCGTCCACGGCGATGCGCCCTCGACGGGCTGCGCATGCCAGCCCGCGGTATGCCTTCACGTCAGAATGAGCCTCGAGCTGTGGAAGCCTAGGCCCATATGGGCCGGAGAAATCTCGTTGCCGATGTTGCAGGTGTCCTGGCAGGGGGGGTTGGAGGCGCGTTGGTAGTGCCTCGTGGGCGCCATGTGCGCCGCGCTTGGCGTGGCCTTGGTTGCCGACCTGTTCGGCGAATGGGGGGATCCTCCGGGCCGGTACGCCTCCTGCTCCTCCTCCTCCTCCTCCTCCTCCTCCTCCTCCTCCTCCTCCTCCTCCTCCTCCTCCTCGTCCTCCTGCCGCACAACCAGGTGAAGCGCCCAGCAGCTTGGGCCGCCGCCGGAGCGTCCGACATGCAGGCGCCGGATAGCACGCGCGGCGGATGGCGGGGAAGGGCGACGGCGCCCCAGACGCGCTGGGCGGCGCGCCTTCGGCACCCGTCTTCTGGCCACCGCCTCGAAGCTTATTGGGGAAGCTGTCGGAGGCGTGGGCCGTGCGGCACGTCCGAGCCCTGCGGTCCGCAGTGCGCCACACGCCGTGTGGGGGCAAGCGCGAGGCTCGCTGCTCACGGACTGGTGGCTTCTGGTGTCTGTCTGGCGTGCGGGGCCGCGGAGGGCACGCTGTGGCACCGCCGCTTCGAGTGCCCCGCCTACGAGCCCTTGCGCCGACAGTGCCTATCGCCGGAGGCCCGGCGACGAGCCCAGGCAGTGCGCGCACGGAGCTGGACAGCGGGAGTGCGGCTTGCCCGAGGCATCCTGCCAGACCCACGCCCTCCCTTCGTCCTCCCAGACGTGCCGTTCGAGATGCATTGGATAAACCGCCCCAGCGGCGGCCTCCTGCGAGGGCGCATCTGCTATGACGGCTCAGCCCTCCTCCCTCCCCAACCATCCTGTGTCTTCCCAGAGCGGGGCGGGCGCTGGTCCAGGTGGACAGGCTGGGCGGGCTGCGGAGCCGTCCCGCGCAGCGAGGCGCCACTGCAGACAGCCCGTGAGGGGGAGGATTTCGCCGTCAGCGTGGTGCTCCCTCTGGTCGCCACCGCCCCCATCGATTTGTTCGTGGACTGTAGGGGCACCAGCGGCGTCGTGGGCGGCGGCACTGGGACCGGCACCAGGACGACAGATGACCGACCATATTGGTGGGGCAAATTCTGGGGGGCGTTCATGCCTTGTGATGATGCCATCCACAAGACCCCCGCCCACATGATGCAGGCAGACGTGGACGGCGGCAGGACGACCGCCATGGAGAGGCGCGCGAATGCCAAGGCCGACGAGCTGGCGAAGGCGGGGGTCGCATTGCATGGCGTCACTTGCGCTGCTGCCCATCTGTGGGCTGGTCTGGAGGACATCGCGGTGGAGATGGGCCGGTGGGCGGGGCAGCTGCACAACCATGTCGCTGACAACGGGCCTCCAGACCGAGAGGACGTTCTGGGCAGGCGTACTGGCAAGGAGGACGCCGCGCAAGAGCCTCAAGGGGCTGAGGGTGGTGCCGTGAGCCTGAGCGCCACTGACCCGCCCCTTCAGCCTCCTCCTCCTCCTCCTCCTCCTCCTCCTCCTCCTCCTCCTCCTCCTCCTCCTCCTCCTCCTCCTCATCATCATCATCATCATCATCATCATCATCATCATCATCATCATCCCCCTCTTCCAGAGTTGTTCATTGAGTGGGGCCCAGCGTGGTGGCGCGACTACGAGCCAGTCGCGTTTCGGGTGCTGGGCCATGCGTTGCTGAGCGTCGACATCCAGGGCAAAACTGGAATGCGGCTGATGTTCTGCTACCGTTGCGGGGCCTACTTCGGGGGCAAGTCCCCGGGGGAGTGCATGCGTTCTTGCTGCAAGGGCCCGAGGGGCGGCCCGAAGCTCAAAGAGCAATTGTCCAAACTTTCGAAGGGAGACCATCCCCACTACCGCAAGGCAACGAGGGGCTGGAAGCTTTCGCCACCCGAGGGCGTCCCCTGGGATGAGCGCCAGCGGTTGCATGCAATTTTCTCGCATGTCGCCAGCCCTCCGTTGGCTACGCCCACCCGGCCACGTGCTGGAGGAGGGCGCGCGGCTTCCCCAGAGACGTCGCCGCGGCAAGCCGTGCTCTGCGCGTTCGGCGTCGCTGAATCCGACCTCCCGGGGGTGCGGCTGCGCGGCCAGTGGGTGGCAACCCGGGAAGCTGCAGACCGCGGCTCGGGCTCCCCATCGACGAGCGATGTGGAGGATGAGGAGTGGTAGTTTGTTTTGATGGTGTTCACTGCCTTCCGAGGCCGATCCCAGCCCATCCTCCTACTCCTCCTCCTCCTCCTCCTCCTCCTCCTCCTCCTCCTCCTCCTCCTCCTCCTCCTCCTCCTCGATCCTCTCCTCTCCCTCCTCCTCGATTCTTGCTCCTTGATCTTCCTGGATCCTCGCTCCTCTTCGTCCTCCCCGACCCTCGCTCCTCCCCGGTCCTCTTCCTCCCCCCCCCCCTCGATCCCCTCCCTCGCTCTCCGACCCTCCTTGCTCCTCGCTCCTCCTCGCTCCTCCTCTGTCCTCGCTCCTCGCTCCTCGGCCCTCGCTCCTCCTCGACCCTCCCCCGCCTGTCGTGCGGCGGCCGCGCCGCCGCCGCCTCCTTGCCAGGGCCCGCGCTTGCCGGCGCCGGCGCCAGGGCCACCTCCTCGCCGCGGCGGAGCTCCGCCGGAGGGCCGGGCTCCTCCTCCGCGGGGGGGGGGGATGCGCAGGGTGGAGGCAGAAGCGGGCCCGCCCCCGGCGGTGCCTCTCTCACGTGGGCGACGATCGAGCACGGGTCTCCCGCAAGGTGGCACAGCGACCTTCTTACGCGGTGGCTTACGCGGGCCGCCAGCGCGGCACGCTACGTTGGAGACGAGGGCGCTTACGCGCGACCTTGCGCGGGGAGCTGGCGCGCCAACGTCGGCGCAGACGATCCCGTTTTTTCGCGTCGCTCATGTGCGCTTACGCGGGCGCCGACCTCCGAGGACCCCCGGAAGTGTCGTCTCTTGTGCCAAGGCGGGCGGGTGGGGCGCAAAACGGCCACCACCCTTGGAACCAGAAAGGCCACGGGAGGGACAGACGTGTGGCTGCGGTTCTTGCTACACTGAACATGATCGGAAGGAGGAGGCGCGCACAGCCTGAGACGCGACCGCGTCATACGGAAGCGCCGCGGCAGACAAGGACGGGAGCCGCCCACCGACACTTTCTTCGTCGGCGGCGAGGCAGAAATGGCTGCACCAGCGCTAGAGCTAGACGGGGGCACCGAACAACGATTTGGCCAGCGTGCAAGAGCGGGACGAGGGCAGAGACGGCGGCCGCGGACCGCCCACCAACACATCCGACGGCGGCAGCAGCTCAGGCCTCGCAACATAGCGGCATGCAGCTCGCCAGCGTCGGGGCTTCAAGGGATGGAGCGGCGGCCATCCACACTGTTTTGCAGCGACGGCCGCTGTCAGACGAGGATGCGCGGGGACTTCGAGAGGCCCTCGTTGGACCCTCCCTCTGTAGGCAGGCGAGAGGAGGAACGAGAATCGAGGAAGATCGAGGGGGAGGAGGCGGATGGGCAGCGGGGAAGAGAATGACGGGGATCGGGGAGGAGGGGATGAAGGAAATGAGGAAGGCGCGCGGCGGGGGGAAGGAGGGAGGGTAGGAGGGGAATCCTAGACCTCAGACGACATCATTCCCGACCATTCTGTGGTGCTGGGTCCTCGTTCTGATGAGCACAAGCCCCGCGCCTTCCACCTCCTCCTCAACACCCCCTCAGGGCACCGGTGATGGGGCTCGCCTGCGTGACTGACACACACACACACACACACACACACACACACACACACACACACACACACACACACACACGCACACGCACACGCACACGCACACGCACACGCACACACACACACACACACGCACGCACACACGCACACACGCACACACACACACACCTCGCGAAGACCGCAGCCCCGCAGGGGGGCCTCCACCGCCGGCCCCCAATTGCAGGGCCCTCGTGCCCGACGGCGCCCACGTCGGCACACCCCTTCACGAGGCTATCCTGGCGCCGCAGAGGCTCCACCGACGTCCCCACTGGCAGCACCCTCGTGCGCGACTGCGCCACTGTCGGCACGCCCCCCACGAGCATCGCGCCCTTTTTCGCCCCTTTCTCCCAAGAGACCCACCGAGGCGCGCACGAGACCGGGCCGTGTGCCGAGGGGCGCTCCGTCCAGCCGTAGGCGGGCTGCTTCCAAGAGGTGGCCCGCTGCGGCCGACAGTTGTGGCCCGATCAGCAGCGTCGCTTCGCCCCCTTCGCGCAGGCCCCGACCGTTTGCTCGCCCCCTTGTCCCACGATCGTCTCCACCTCTCCTGCGGCACTCGCGCCTGCATGCGCTGCCGTGGCGGAGGTTCATGCGATTGGGTACGGCGTTGGAATCCCCGGTCCACCCTGATGATCCCTGACATGCGCAGGTGCCTCCTGCCCCCTCGCGGAGTAACGCGGGCCCACCTTTAATAAATAACTCTGTTGCTCCAAAACGAGATGGGCAAGTCCTCCACCCAAAAAGTCGTGCGCAATGGGGCGGACTGCATGTCAGCGCGGGGCAATCTCTACTCCGCCTTTTCCGCCAACTGGCAGTCATGTTGCACGCGAGCCGTATAATGCTGTATGTGCCCGAGCTCGTTTCTCACGGGCCCATCCTCACGTGCCCATTCAGCCCAAGGATCTGGCGACGTGTGCAATACGATGAGAGGTAAGGGGGATGATGGCGATGCTGAACGATGATGCGGCGCCGCGGGGGGATCCCTCATCGGCGTTCGGGAAGTTTGGTGGTAGAAAAGGAATCGATCGTCTTGCACTGGCAAAGGCCCGATCACGTGTGGTGGGGTTTCTAGATCTGCCTTCCTACGTTGGGCATCCGAGCCAACCTGTTTCTTACACACTTGGAGAAAAAAACAGCGATTCTGAAATCACAGATCTCCGATTCGATTGCTCCTCGCCCAGCCCGCTAAGACCATGAGAGAACATGTCGGGGGCAGCTCAGGCGGGGCTGGCGCAGGGGTCGCCCCCCGCCCGCCCGCTCGGACGAATCTCATATCACCTTGACGCTCTCATACGACGTTACCGCCGGGAACTCGTAGAGCCTCCTGCGATATACATCAATGGCATGCGGGCGCGGCAATCTCGCATTCCGCGCGCGCGCGAGGGTGCGATTTCTGGAAACGCGCTTCACAGCTCCTTGCTTGTCCACAGCTCGAGTTCGTGATACTGCAGAGTAGCGCTCGTGATCGTGAGAGGCGCGGC